GGCAGTGGTGTGGTTCTCTAGGCTCCTTACATCCCACTAACATTACAGATGAGATCTATTTCTGTAAGCTTTATAGCAGGTTAGACTCTGAGACCCCTCTCTTGGGACCTGAGATGTTATCATCTGATTTTCTAACATGATGCTGGTGGTCTTGCCCACTGGGCTAGTGTGTTCATCCTTTGGAATCAGGCTCAGCACAATGAGCTGTAACTGAATCAAGGTCCAGAAGGAATATGAGGCACCTGAGGGAGGGACATGACCAAAACCCAGCAGTGCACTGCAGAACCACCTTTGAGGGCCAAGGACTCTCTTCTCATTGCAGGCACAATGCAGCACTGGCCTTGTCTCACAGTTGATTCTAGCCTTGTCAACCACAGCCAACATTGCTCAGAAAAGAGGCTTTGAACTACAAACTAAAGGTCCTGGCTTGGTCCTGGGTTTTGTCCAATTCTTGTCCTGTCATTTGGCAAGAAGGGGCCTCTGGTCCTGTGGAGAACAGTTCAGGCACATGGTATGGGGAAGGGGCAGAGGAAGCTCTGGGATGAGAGGTAGAAAGCTGGGTGACCATGGACAATGTACATCTGCTGATTTTAGGTACTGCCTGGGCCAGTCATTTTCAAACTTTACTTATCCACAGAAATATTTATTTAAACATGATATAAATGAGAATCCAAACGTACTATCAAGAGCAATGACGAGGGTAAAGCCTTGACAACCACAGCTTGCCATTAAATTCCCCATCCCGATCACACACACATGCACACGCACACACACACGCACAGACACACACACACGATGGCCCTTCCAAGATTCATTGTTCCATGATTCAGTGTCACATCTCTATAGCACAGAGTCCTTCCAAAATATTAGGCTGAACCGGAGGCAATAACTGAGATTTGATGATTTTGGACCTGCAAAAATGGCAAGATCACATTTCACACTAATAGTTTCGTCTGCACCATTGTGCTCACTCAGGAACCAAATAGCCTCGGTTCAGCTCCTCAGTGTACTGTATGTGTGCCATTGGACAGGATACTTCACCTCCTTGATCCTTCCCTGTAAAATGGACAAGCAGAATAGTCTTCCCCAGTGCTCTGCCCAAAGAAGTCAGAAGGCTGAATGAAGCAGAGCCCTGGCGTTGGGGCTGGTGAGCTCTGACACAGTGCTTGGCCAATAGCACAGAAGCCCTCCATCAGTGTCTTACAGAGAAAGCCCTAATGAGGTCCTGTGGGCCCAACTGAGAGAACAGTGTCCTATTCTTCTCCCTGCCTGGCCTTGAAGGGAGTATGTAGCCAGTGCAGTTGGAAAACACAGTCCCAACAAGGCTTCCCAATCAGTCATCCCGTCCAGTTTGAACCAGACCCCCACTCTTCCTTCCTGTGAGGGGCATCACTAGGCAGTGGGCAGGTCTTGACCTGGACATGAGAATGGTGCTGGCATACCATGAATGACATTCCTCCCTCTGCCTTATCTAAGTAAGGCATTAGAGGCTCCCTCCCCAGATACCTACGCGGAGCCTTCCCTATTAAGTGGTACATCATGGAATATGTCAGCCTGAATTAGCAGGCAGGCCCATCACGTTAAGCTGACGCTCTGGGCTGGCAGTTCCCACTTTGTAATGCCTCTTGATCCTGGCCGTCACGCTCCCTCCTTGTCACCACAGCCACGGGAAGCCTCCGCCGACAATGCACAGTAATGAAGGAGGCTCAGGGAAGAGTTTAGGAGGAGCCACAGGAAGTCCTTGCAGATTCCATTTCTTCTGGGGCCCTGGGGAGCCCACTTTGAGCTCTGCTACCTCTGGGAGGGGGCCGGTGGGGAGGCAGAGGATGCGCAGGTAGCGCTCAAAAGCTCCAGGTGGGGCGTTCCTTTATGACAGACTACAAAAGCATGACATGTGTTTTTGGAAGTACACGGAATAGTCACTCCTATTCAAATACCAGGTACACCTACATCACCTAACTGAGGTTTGTAGAGGCAGCTCAACTACAAAACTCTGACTACTGCTACCGTTATTATTATCAGTAATAGTGTTGATTCCGTAAATTCTCCTGGCAGCTTATTTGTGTCACTTACAGAGCATTTATTACTTCCTGCCACGTATGATATTTGCATGTGGTGTGATACATTGGAAGGAGCACTAGGTCTGCAGTCAGGTAGGCTCTGGTATTAAATTCTGACAATGCCTCATAGCTCATAGCTGGGCAACCCTGGGCCACTGACTTAGCCTCTCTGAGCCAGAGCTTTCTCTTCGTATTAATACTCACACCACAACCTATTTCACAGAGCTGTTGAAAGGATTACCATAAATAACATCCGCAGAATGATTGACAGAGAGGAGTAAATGCCCAATAAATACTTTTGGGTAGAGTTCCCAAGAACAGAGTCACTTTTTTTTTTATCCATTACAAAGTCTTAATTCAGATGCACCCTTAATTGGTGTTGGATGGTATATCACCTTCCTTTCCAAAACTTACCTCATTTGCCCTCTAACTTGTTCTCCCCTGTACATCAAGAATCATCTAATCAAACTTTATCATACCACAATCATTGGAAATCTTTTTAGTTCTGCCCATTTCTCTAAGGATAATGGCAAAAATTTTGGGGGTGGGGGCTTGCCTGTGACCCACCCTATAACTTCATCTCTTACCATGGTTCCCATCACTCTCTCTGTCTTAACCACATTGACCTATTGACCCTTCATTTTGCTTTACCCCCACCCTAGGACCTTTGCACATGCTCTTGTCCCTAACTGGAACATTCTTTCCTCCCCTCCTGGCCTAGTAAACCTGTTCTCATCCTTCACAGTCATCCATCCAATACTTCTTCAGCAACAGCTCTCCAGGCCTCCCTGACCATGTTAAATCCTCTTTTGCATGATATCATCTATTTGGGGGCACTTACGACATTTTGTTGTGACATGACTTCCTATCTCCCTCCTCTGTCTAGCCCTGCTCTACGAAGGCAGGAAGTGTCTGGTTTGGTTCACTGGTTGGATTCTCTAGGACATTGTATGGAGCCCAGTAGATGCTGCTCAAAGAACAAGAAGGCAGGTGAACCAGAGAGCATGTTATCTCCACAGATCCCAGTGACCTTTCCTGATAACTAGGGCACAGTGGGTCTTATTGGTTTTTCAAATAGTATGGCCCAGAGCTCAGGAGGGCCAAGTTAATCACCCATGGTCACACAGCCTTTCACTCTGTGGTCAGTCTGTGATGAGAACCAAGGTCTTCGAGTTCTCTCCCTTCCTGAGCTTATGCTCTAAAACCATCATCCATAATTGGCATAGAGGGCACATGAAGGCTTGCCTTTCCCTCCCTGGTCTGGTGTTCAGAGGATCCCCACCACATCCTACATCCACATCTCAAGCCAACTCTGTCTCCCAGGTGTCTAGCACCAGAGCTGTATAGGACTCTGAGTTCTCTGAATTGTTTATTTATTTAAATTATTTAATTTAAAATCTCCTTCAGAGGTGATCTGAACTCCCTTCAAGACTGAACTGGGAGAATTATGTTTTGTCAAAGGTTATACCTTTGAAGTGAGTACACTTCACAAAATGTAACCTTTGTTCCTGCCCTCTTCCCTTCACCCCTTGGGATGAAACAAATTCAGAAGTTGAAGCCTTAATCAACTACCTGGTAGCAAATTAGTCGGCAAGTTAGCTCAGCTGCAAGAGGTGACTTCCTCATAAAGGAAATTTTGGTCCTTTTTTTTTTCTTCTTTCTCTTAAAGGACAACATCTGTGTTTTGTGTTTGTTTTGTTTCGTTTTTAGTCTGTCCCCGGCCAGGCATTGCTGTTCTCCCTCACCTTCTCAGGAACCAGTTCACCCAGGAGTTGTCAGAAGTGCCCTTGAATTCACAGAGAGAGTCAGGGGGTGCGCCTGGGTGGCTCAGTCGGTTAGGCATCCAACTTGGACTCACGTCATGATCTCATCATTTGTGGGTTTGGGCTCCGCGACATGCTCTGTGCTGACAGCTCGGAGCCTGGAGCCTGTTTCAGATTCTGTGTCTCCCTCTTTCTCTGCCCTTCCCCTGCTCATGCTTGCTTGTTCGCTCTCTCTCTCTCAAAAATAAATAAACTTAAAAAAAAGAAAAAGAATCAGAAGAGTCTGGGTCTTCTTGTTCATATTTGCCTGGAAGACCTTCATGTGTGGGAAATGATTTAACTGCCTGATTCTTTGACCTGAGGAGAAGAAAACATTTTCTTACATATTCTTATTCACTCTTTCAACAAATAATCACTGAGGACCCTTTAGATATCAGTAAGCTGACCATATAGTTTATTGTCCAAATGAGGATAGTTTTGGTGTGAAAGTGGACACTACCTGGTTCGTACACTGGGTAGTAAATATAAACCAAGATTTTTCCCAGGTAAAACAAGTTGTCAAAGAGTGCCATGTATGATCATGGCTGAATTTTAGAATTAACTATTAGAATCTTGGGTGATTATATATTTTCACAAAATGCCCTTAAAGATTGGGGGGGGGAAAGCCAGGATGGGGTCTAGACCTCCAAAGCCATGAAGTATATATATGTAGGTCAAAGTTGAACTACATATTTCTAAAATTTTCCCACAACTTCCTTTTCCAAGTACATTTCATGTTTAAAACAAACAGGCAGCTTGGAACAACAGCTCTGGAAGCTAATGCCTGATCAGTAGCTTCTAAGCGTACTTTCTCTAAGATGAGGCCACCTAGAAGGTCCAGGGAAAATGCTTAGAATCTATAAAGTATGAAATTGCCCATGAAGGCTAAGTGATGATGACATCTTTTGAGAAAGAAGTAAAACTAAAAGTAGCAGAGGGAAAAATAAAATTAAAAAAAAAAAAACTAAAAGGAACTGAGGAAACAGGAGTATGTGATTTATCAGTCTGCTTCTCTAACTTCAAGCTTTTTAAATGTGATTATGATTTTGTGTTGTGATGATGAAGGACATAAACATGCGGACGTTTTCCCTAGTGAAGAACTTTGGTTCTGAAGTGATTTGTTTCTCTTGCATCCCAGGTGCCTGTTCTGAGACCCATGGACCTGATGGTGGAGGCCACCCCGCGAAGAGTATTCGCCAATGCACACACGTATCACATCAACTCCATATCAGTCAACAGCGACTATGAAACCTACATGTCAGCTGATGACCTGAGGATTAACCTTTGGAACTTTGAAATAACCAATCAAAGTTTTAGTATCCTTTCCTTGGGGTCAATAACCAGTTGGCTTGAATCATATGTATTCAGGTATGAGCAGGCTTGGGGGGAAATAGAAGAGAGAGGAGCAGTCACAACCACAGACTCCTAGCACTTGTGGAGAAAGAACTATGCTCTTTTAAATTACATTGGCGTCCATCTTTCATTGTAACAAAGTTAGAGAAGTATTGAATTACTAAAATAGTGGTCCAGGACTAGCTCTGGATAGGAAGTCTGAATCACTTCCTTTATGCAGAGGAATTTGTGTGTCATTTGTGTGTCATGAATTAAAATCAGTTGTGACTTTATCAACTATAAGATAAGACCCTAGAATTCAGTTAAGATTCCTTTCTCTTGTTAAAGGATCTATAAATGGCCTGTATGGACAGCATGGACCACAGGTACACATGAAATGGTTTTCATCGTATCATAATAGTAGAAATAATACTGGCTGCCACTTATTGCATTCCAAGCACTGCAATAGGAACTTTATGCATAGAATCTCATTGTTTAAAGTATTATTTATTTGTTTTGAGAGAGAAAACATGGGCAAGCAGGGAAGGAGCAGGGGGAGGGAGAGAGAATGTCCCAAGCAGGATCAACACTGTCAGTGAAGAGCTCAACGCAGGGCTAGAATCCATGAACTGTGAGGTCATGACCTGAGCCGAAATCAAGAGTTAGACGCTCAACAAACTGAGCCACCCAAATGTCCCACATAGAATCTCATTTTGAGAAGTACACATATCATAATATTACAGCCTGATGAATTTTCACCCAACACACACATCTGTGTAACCAGCATCCGGATCAAGAGACACCAAACTTTACTAGCAGTCCTCAAGTCCCCAACACACTTCCTTCTAGTCTTCATACACCGAAACCCTAATGTAAGGTTTCTTTCTTCTATCAAAGAAACCCTAATGTAAGTATTACTATCTCCTCTGTTAGCTAAAATCCACAGATATCAAGAAGATGTTGAATGAATGTCTGAGCCAACATTCTTACTCCATTATGATGACCCGCTCTTTAATAATATGGATCGGTCATTTATTCACTACCTGCCCTGTGGTCTGTGCCACCACAAACCTGACTCTTCACTTGAATTTCCATTCCGTTCATGGTTTCTCAACCCAGGAAGCTGAGCAGCTGACCTAGGAGTCAGTATGGATTCTTTTCTCTCCCTCACCAGCCTCCATGCCCCCAGCCCAATCTGTCTATGAGGGCTGCCTATGCTTCCTCTGAAATATATCTCTAATCAACTCATTTCTTTCCATTCTGCTCCTCCTACCCTATGGTGCTGTAGGCCATTATTCCTTCCTCTGTGTGACTGCAGCAATCTCCTGTTCAGTCTCCATTTTTTCTTGATCTCCTACATAGTTCATGTTCTCATAACAGAGTGGACCTTTCAGTATTTAATTTAGATATCATTCTCCCCCTGTTTAAAACAGTCTAGTAGCTTCCCAATGAATTTGGAATAAAATCCAAGTTCTTTACCTTGAACTGTAAGATTCTAAATGAAATGGGCCCTGGCTCCCTCTTTAATATCCTATCATGTCACTCTCCCCGAAATCACTGTGATTCAGCCAATTAACCTCTTTTCTGTTCCTGGATAACCTTGTTCTTATATCTCTTCTTTGTATTTGCTGTTCCCTCTTTCTGGAATACTCTGTCCCTGGAGTTTACTTGGCTAACTACAAGCCATCATTCAGACTTCCATCTAATGTCATCTCCTCAGAGGTCCTTTTCCAGTAACTTACCAGTAGTCCCCAGTAGCCCTCTCTCCTTGTTATCTTCACAGCACTTATCACTATTTGAAATTGCTTTTTTACTTGTGTATTGGGGTTTCCCCATATTTGAGTATAAATTCTATGAGAGAAGGGACTTTGTATGATCCATTCCTGTAGCCCAGTACCTAGAACATTCTCAGACACAGAAAATACCATTTTGGTTGGATAGGTCAAGTTTGAAGTGCGATAGGTCACTGAAGTGCAACTATCCAGTAGATAGTCGATGGTGAAATGTAACCAGGAAATCTCACTTTAAGAGTATGTTGGTTAAAGTAAAGCTCTGAATGTTGTGATATAAATAGACCTCATAGTGACTCAAACACATAAAAGATGACTTCTGTTATAATGGAGTCATTATGATGATCACCACCAGCAAGCATCCTCCTCCAATCAGTGAATCAGAGAATTAGGTCCTTCCACCCTGCAGCTCCCCAGTGTCACCAGGCTTACTTGCAATCAGGACAGCAAAGGAGAAGATGGTAGAGAACCACACATGGGAGCCTCTTTTGAGCCAGGCCCTCAAATAGCATGAATTCCATTGGTTAGAAGTCAGTCACATGGCTACCTCTAACTGCAAAGCAGGCTGGGAAATGTAATATAGCTATGCATGTAAAAAAAAAAAAAAAAAAAAAAAGATTAACCTGGTTTGGTACACAGTTAGCTAGTCTAGTCTCCACCACAGAGGAGTGCTAGATACTTGCCCAAGGCTTTTTTTTAAGTTTTTATTTAAATACCAGTTAGTTAACATACAGTGTAACATGAGTTTCAGGTGTATAATAGAGTGATTCATCACTTCCATACATCACCTGGTGCTCCTCACAACAAGTGCACTCCTTAATCCCCATCACCCATTTTACCCCTCACCCACCGCCCTCCCCTCTGGTAACCTTCAGTTTGTTCTCTGTAGTTAAGAGTCTGTTTCTTGGCTTGCCAAGGTTTTTTAAGGAAGGCAGCTTTAAGCAAGTAGTGGCAGTGATGGAGGCACTAAGACCTGACCCTCAGGACCATGACTGGCATCTCTTGTCGTTCACAGAGTAGATTCTACATACTGTCTGAGCCTCCGACAACCTGCCTACAGATTGTGCATAGAAGTGTGGCTGCTAATAGAATGAATGTGGGTGGTGGTTCCCTTTCTCCTTTTACATCTTTTCCGAGAGCCAGAAATCTGCTCAGACTTAGCTGCTGTCACTCTGAGTGCCTGCTGTCCCCAATCTAGATGACATGTTTTCTGGATTTGCCTCTAGGCCTTCAAGAGGGAGGGGGGTTTCTTTAGGCAATTTGGGAGACAGATGCCTGGGGGAGAATGCAAAGGGGAAATATTAATAGCACAATTTAGGTTATATTCTGCAGATGTGTGACAGCCTGCCAGATGCTGGCATACAAATGAGACTGTGCCATTCACCCTTAAAACAGCCATATGTAAAATAATTATTGTCATCATGAGGATGATGATCACTGATATCTATATAGTTCTTTTCAACCAAACCGCCTTAAGCACTAAGCTGACTGTACAAACTGGGCCCCTTTTGCCTCTCGTCACTGCAGTGAAGCCACCTCTGGGGTAGGAAGCGGCCATCTTTCAAAACACCTTCAGAAAAAACACCAACCACCAGGCAGGTCTTTTTGAATCATACATTGTTTACTACCATTTCTATAATGCCATTTATCCACTAAGAAGGCTGTCAAATATGGCTCAGGATAGAATAATGTGGGATTCCCAAAGCATGGTATGAGTACCACTGGGGTGGTAGGAACACTATGTGGACTTTTTTCATTTTTATGGTTAGGTATTTACAGTCATGAGTACTAGAAAATACAGCTATCATATCAGTCTGATGACTTCATAGATACTGAAAACACTTAAATTACAAAGTAAGTTATATGTGAAGAAAAGTAGATAGTAAGACAAGTGGTCTTGCAGTCTTGTTTAAAAAATAAAGTCACAAGTTCCAGTGCCTGGCATTTTGTGTGACATTGGCCATTGGCATTATGGTTGAGAACACAGGCTTTGGAGTCTCAAAAGTCCTTGAACTTCTGAAAGTCCTAAAGCCTAAAGTTCACACTCAGCTCTACTGCTTACTGGCTGTGTAAGCTTTAATGTGGTTCTTAACTTATCCAACCCTCTGTTTCATGATCTTGAGAGAGAAGCTTTATAAAAGAGGATTGTGAGAATTTTTTAAGGTGTTTTATATATATATA